CCTCCACAATCGCCTCAATGTCACTTTTACACCAACACCCACAGCGCCCACGACGACAATCACATTCTTGCTGCCACGCCGCCGATAATTACAACCACTTCAGTCATTCCCGCCACAACCTCCGTGACCACGACGACGATTACCGCCTCACCCACTCCTGCCATCGGTGAGAACGCTCTTAACGCCTCGTCATTTACTGGCCTCCTTGTCACTGCTTTCCCCACTGGCGAGATGTTTCCAGTTCCAACCTGGCCTCAATGCGAGCGCAACATCACCTTACAAAACGGCCTGTTTGGTCACTTATGAACCTATTTCACTGCAACCGGTGCACCAGTGCCAGGATCTCCCACATGCACCCTCCGCCGTCGCAGCAGCTCAGCCACGCACATTCAGCCATCACATGAGCCTACTCAGTCACGTGCGCCTCCCCGGAAATTTGCAGTAAGTCACCACAGACTAGATCATATCACCACATACTTCCCCATCAACACATGTGCCAAACATGAATGCCTCCAGCGTCACACAACATACAGTACGTGACCTATCACATGAAATCTGATAAGGGAAACTGGTGAGAGAATTTGTAGACGCCTTTAACGTTGAGCATTTTGTTCGCTCAGTCACATCCTTCAATGAAATGTCCTTTTCTTGCACAGAAATTGTGTTTACGTAATTATATCAAGTAAAATATCAGTAAATTTTGGCGAAAATGGACGTGGGAATATATTCGTGCGATTTGCTATGTTAATACATGTCCTAGACTCCGGTTACTCGTCTGAGCGCCTTTTTCATTGAAGGGATGGTAATTTACCCGCGAGATTTTTAATAAACAGATTAAGCCGAACTTGAAAATTTATTTTATGTCTGATGTTAACCATGGTGATCAACCTGCTAACACAAAGGTTATTTTAAGAAAACCCGAGGTTTTATCGATTCCTTAATGTCACATTAGCAGATCTGTGCGATTTGGTGCCCTAAAGTGCAGTACTAACGCAGATAGGGATTCCTTCGTTTAAATGGGCTGAAGTTGTTTTGCCGTTCGGCAATTCTACCTGATGTCACATAAATGACCACCACTGACCGTCTTCATGGCATGTCACCTTATGAAAACTTTAGTTTCTACCACGTCCCCATCGGTGAAATCAAGCAAATTCCAGCTTCTCTTGTTGAATGCCATCTCATTTACTTCAAACGATTCAAAAATAACACGAATCACTGGAAAACTGTTTTGGAATCTACACTCAGAATATAGGCAGTTGGCAAACAGTCATATATGAAATCACAGTACCTAGTAAACGATATTTAGATGTAAACGTCACTGAAACACTGTTATTAGACATTATTTTATATCTTCTTTCGTATTTGCTATGTTTTTGGTATGCGAATACATTCTATACATCTAAAAACGAAGTTTACTGAAGTAGAGCCATTTCTGACGTTTTCCGGATATTGCGTTTTTCAAAATAACTCGGCCTTTCTAAACAAAGCAACACTGCCTTTAATATTTCAGTTATGTTTTAAATTCTTTTATACTTGCAGTTAATTAACATGGACATTGGACTCGTGAACTGGTGTCGTTTTGCGAGTGACTGGCAATCATTCGTGAATTTCGACACATTTCATGAGTTAGGTCACTAACTGTGGGCACCTCTCCCGTAGGTGTGTTTTGCGGCCTCTTCTGAGTGTGGCTCTTCTGCAACGTTGGATATCTGAGCAACATAGGCCCGTGTGTTATCCTTGTGTACGTGTGTGTGTGATATGACGCGATCCCCGCTGACAGCTACAAGCACGATGGCCACCAACTCATGGATCCTCTGAGGAGAATTGTAAAGACAGCCACAACAATCTTCGAATCTAATCGCATTACCGCCGCCAAAGCCAAACGCGAGACGAGCATATCTCAACCGCTGCATCGCAACGCCACCGCCCAACTACCTCCAACGTGTCCACGAAATCAACGGACATTCCGCGCGCCAACTGGACTTGCTGGACACATTCGGACCAACTGCAACACCCGGACTGAACCAAACGTTATCTCTCCTTCGCCTACCATGCCGTCAACTAACGCTGACCGCCCTCCCCAACCACCAATATCATCTTCCTCCTCCTCCTCCTCCTCAACCGCCTCAACGTCTGTCGCTGTGGCGTCTGCCATGTCCATCAACACTACACAAAATCCAGACACACCAATACCATCACCGTCAACATCATTAACGAGGACCCGGTCTATGTCTGTCCACATTGCGATCGCACCTTCACCTCACATATCGGCCTGGTCGGTCAATTGCGAATCCATCGCACAGAGACTGATGAATCAGTGCCTGGAGCACCAACCTACACTCGCCGCATCCACCTCCACTGCTCATATTGCCCTCGCGCATTTAGTCACCGCATGGGTCTGTCAGGCCACATGCGCGTCCACGAAAACCTGCGGTAGACAACCGCGGGCTGTATCACACCATCACATACTCCCTCACCAGCATCCCACCGCACATCAACATCATCCACCGCGGGCACCCAACTGTCATCTCCCACGCAAGTGGGAAGTGTGCGACTCGGCGATTATCATGCGGCTCTCTTGCTGCATTTGTGATCGGAGTCTGAAACAAGACGGTACACCGAGCGCCGTGGCTCGGAAGGCAACCGACTGACGCCCCGAATCAGTCCACTCAGTCTGCTCAGTTGTGTGCGTTATGTGGAGTGGCGAACTGGTGGGCTGAGAGCCAGGCTGTCACGGCCCCTTCTCAAGCGATCTGTAACACTCTCCTGCATGTGAGGAGAGTGGTTGTGTGCGTGTGAGTGCTTTATGGGTTATGCCTATCAGTCTTCTGCGTGTTAATGACCAGACCGAAGTTCTCGCAGACGGCAGAGAACAGGTCCATGCTCCGTTGCATCTCCTCTTCCGAGGTGGTGTTCAGGGCGCAGTCGTCGGCGAAGAGGAGTTCGTGAACGGTGGTTGTGGATACGCGCGATTGGAAGTGCATTCGCCGTTGATTCAGGAGGTGACCGTCCGTCCTGTAGGCGAGGCGGATCCCGGGGCGTTCGTCGCGGTACGCGTCCATCAGCATGGCAGAGAACATAAGACTGAAGAGGGTAGGCGCCAGTACGCAGCCCTGCTTCACTCCATTGGTCACTGCGAATGCCTCTGAGACAGCTCCGTTGTCCGTGACTCGCGCCATCATTGGCTTTCCGGCAGAAGGCCCTGTTCCAGATGGTTATTGAGGCGGTTGAGAAGGATGCGGGCGAAGATCTTCCCGGCGATGTTCAGTAGGGAGATGCCGCGGTGATTGTCGCAGACTTGGCGATTGCCTTTGCGCTTATAGAGATGCACGATGGTTGCGTCTTTGAAATCTTGCGGGACTTCACCTTGACGCCACATCTCTTGGAAGAGCGCAGTCAGGTGATCCATCAGTTGGGGACCTCCGTGCTTGTAGACCTCAGCAGGGATTGCGTCCGATCCGGGTGCTTTCGCGCTGGAGAGCTGCTGCACGGCCCTGATGGTCTCCTGGAGAGATGGCGGGAGATCGAGGTCCACGTTGGTCTCCACTTGCGGCAAACGCTCGATGGCGGCATCGGAGATGACGGAGGGGCGGTTGAGGACGCCTCGGAAATGCTCGGCCCATCGCTGCAGGATTTGCGTCTTCTCAGTCAGGAGAGTGTTGCCGTCGGTGCTGAGGAGAGGAGCAGTGCCCTACGTCGCCGGACCGTAGACAGCTTTGATCGCGGAGAAGAAGTTCTTCCATTCGTTGCGGTCCGCATAGCCTTGAATCTCCTCAGCTTTGCGAGCAGTCCAGGCGTCCTGCATCTCGCGCAGTCGTTGTTGAAGTTGGCGGCGGCTGCGGTAGAAGGCAGCTTTGTTGCCCTCAGTTGGGTGCTCTACGTAGGCTTTGTGTAGGCGGTTCTTCTCAGCAAGCAGATTTCTGATGACGGCGTCGTTGTCGTCGAACCAGTCCTGGTGTTGACGGGGAGCGCGACCGAGGACGGCGAGCGCCGTCGACTGGACCGTGTCTCGCAGTTGACACCAGCGTTTCTCCACGAAGGCGTTCTCGGCGGCGGCGGCAGCGATTGGAAGGTTGTCTAGCCTTTGAGCTAGCTCACTGTTGAAATGAAGATGGTGAGCGTGCAAAGACAACAAGGCAACATTCAGCTTACCTGGGGGTCGCTTACCTTGTGGTCTCCTGCGAGGCTGTAGGCGAATACGCATCTTCGAGATGACGAGGCGATGGTCGGTCCACTCGTCAGCACCCGCGATCGCCTTCGTCACCAGCACGTCCCGCTGATCTCGCCTCCGGACGAGGACATAGTCCAGCAGGTGCCACTGACGCGACCGAGGATGCCTCCAGGTGGCCTTCTCTCGCTCCGGCAGACAGAAAAAGGTGTTCGTCAGGATGAGGCGGTGTTCTGCGCGGGTGCGGAGGAGCAGCAGACCATTGTCGTTTGAGCCGCGGAGACCGTGAGGACCCAGCACTCCTCTCCAGGCAGTATGGTCTGTGCCGACGCGGGCGTTGAAGTCACCAAGGACAATCAACTTGTCCGCCTTCGACACAGTCGCCAAGAGGGCGTGCAGGTCCTCGTAGAATTTGTCTCTGACGGCGTCGGGGTTGGTCATCGTCGGAGCGTAGGCGCTGATGATGGTGGCGAATTGGCCCCCCCGCCGGAGAGGCAGACGGAGGCTCATCAGGCGATCGTTGATGCCCTGCGGCAAACAGGGCAGTCGTCCCACGATGTCGTTCCGAATGGCGAAGGCGACACCCGCGTCCCGTCGCTCTACCCTGGGTCGACCGCTCCAGAAGAAGGTGTAGCCGGCACCCACCTCCTCCAGTTGGCCTTGTTCGGAGAAACGGGTCTCGCTGAGTGCGGCGATGTCCACCTTGTAGCGCGCCAGTTCTCGTGCCACTAGCGCCGTCCTCCGTTCCGGTCGGTTGCTCCTCGGATTGTCTAAAAGGAAACGAACATTCCAGACTGCCAGAGCGAGCGGGCTCACCCTGCCAGTCTGGTGACAGCGAGTGGGGCGACGGGAAGGAGATGGAGAAGAAGGTTACGAAGGAGAAGAATAGGCAGAAGAATAGGCAGAGGAAGAGGAAGAAGAGGTAGGATGAGGAGAATGAGTATGGTTGTTGTTGTTATTGGTATTGTTGTTGTTTCGATTTTGATTGTTTCGACCACGATTAGACGTCTGCGGCCCTGGCTAGCCTGGAGACGGCGTGGTACCCAGCAATGTTTAGGCCACCTTTTCTAGGCCCTTCCCCTCGTGGGGGCTGGCAGTGCCATCCCTGAATAGGGCTGCCATGTGCCGTTTTGGCACGGCCGAACTCCACTATGGGACCACGACTTCGGGTTGTAGTGGAGAGCGACTCGAATTCGCCGTAAGCCGCGGTCTCCGACGGCGTAGGTGGGCGCGTCAAGGCAATGTCGATGTGGAGATCCATCCCGTCACCGGCTGTCCAGCGGCGTGCAGAGACGAACCACGTCACGAAGGTGCCGACGCAAGGTTCCATCCGACCTTCCATCCAGCGGAATTCGCAAAACCTGTGCACACGGCACAGCGCACAGGGCCCCCTCATCTGGTTTAGCCCGCCGGACGAGACGGTTTCCCGGGGTGTGGCCGCTGAGCAGAGTTCAGCTACGTGGAGCCACAGGTGAGAGTTGAGTGTCAGCAAGTGGACGCTAGGCGCAGTCTCACCTGCAAGCAAGTGAGCGACCACCACGACCATTACGCGAACCCACAGCTGACACCCCGCCAATCTAACACGCAGAGGACACGAACACACGAGACTTGCCACTGCCATCATAATACACACCAACCGCACCAACTACCACCCAACTCGGCCACAGCCCCCAACGCGCCGCCGCAAATCAGCGTGAACGGAACCCAACTGCAAGTGGTGGAGAACTTCCCGTACCTGGGCAGTACTCTCTCCCGCAGCACCAAGATCGACGACGAAGTCGCCAACAGGATCTCGAAAGCCAGTCAAGCCTTCGGTCGCCTTCAAAGCACAGTTTGGAATCGCCACGGTCTTCAGCTCAGCACCAAGCTGAAGATGTACAAGGCCGTCATCCTGCCGACACTACTGTATGGAGCGGAGACTTGGACGGTGTACGCAAAGCAGGCACGTCGTCTGAACCACTTCTACCTCAGTTGTCTTCGTCGCATCCTGAGGCTAAAGTGGCAGGATCGAATCCCCGACACTGATGTGCTGGAACGGACGGGAATCCTCAGCATCTACGCCATACTGAGGCAAATTCAGCTGCGCTGGAGCGGCCACCTGGTGCG